TCAATTTTATCATCACTGACTTTAGTGGTTGGTGTATAAATTTGAACAATAGTGGCATTAACTGATCTTCCTGAAGGGCCATGAATATTACCCTATCACAGACATCATTGTACTTCAAGATAGGTCTTGAAATGTTTTTTTTTGACCAAGTGATTGTCATATTAAAAATGGCCAATATCAGTCCATTTCAGCTAACTAATGCCTAGGATACTGATGTTTATGTATTCCATTTCATTTTTGATGACTTCCAGTTTTGCTAGATTTGTGCTTCATACATTCACATGCCCATCTATATAATTATATATCCTCCAGCTTCCACTAACCCAAAAGCCCCTGACTGCCATTTTCATTGACTCATTTTCTAGGTCTCTTTGATTGTTCCCTATCCACTTTCTGACTATCTCTCTGCTCTCAGTAGGGAGTACATTTGAGGGTAGGCAGAATTCTTTGGCCAGAGGGAGAGGGGCCTCACAAAGGAAAAGTCAGGGAAAACTTGAGAGAGCCAGCGTTTATGCCCAGGAGTCCTCCTGCCAAAATGGTTTGGCTTCCCTTCATTGGAACTTCCTGCACGTCCTCCTTCCATGCCTTCAGGGGAAGAATCTCTGTCTCAGATCAGGCCCAGGTAGACATTTCTCACTGGAGATTCCCTCACTTATCTCTCACTCCCATGGGATCCCTCTTCTTTCCTCCTTCTCTCTTTTCCACAATTTCTAACCTCTGGTTAATCACATGGTTCTTTCCAATGGAGGTGGAGGAATATTGTCATAATTGTGTTGTGATTAAGATAATTATCCTGTTCTACATAAAATCATCATCTCCTGTACCATCAGAGATGTGCAAGTCCACATTTTGGGAACTACTGTGCACACTGCCCTTCAATACCTTAGAAAGGCTCCTCAGATGTGAATACTATGAATGCAGGACACAATTCCTATGTATGGAAGGGAGGTGGTGGCAATGCAGCAGTTGGTGCACAGAGCCTGGGATCCTTCCCTATACTCCTCACTCTAGCTGGCTACTCGCCATCCCCAAGCACCTCTTCCTCACCTCTGTTTTTTCCAAACCTGAAAGTGAGAGTCTCTAGCTGCTCTTCCTGATCACAGAGGCACCAGTTCAAAATGTCCCTTATGGTCACACACATCTTTTATACATCACTTTCCAACTGTAGCTCCTCCCTCAGGACTTTTTTTTTTGTAATGTTTTTATTGTGAATTGAGTGAAAGTTTACAGGACAAATCATCAGTTTTTGGCAGGCGCCATAATAATTAAGGAATTAAAATGAGGAAATTGAGATATATTAATTGAAGAATTAAAATAAATAAATGAGACACGGGGACCCTGCACATAGAAGAATTCATTGTTTTTACAAAGCAATAATGCATTATTTTCCTTTGGATGGCAGAGACACAAAGAAATATTCTATGCACAGGCCCCTAGTTAATTTTTTCCTTTTGAATCATTCTCTGATTTATTCATGATTTTATTAGTATCCCTTTACTTTAGATTTT